TCCAAGATGAAAATCAAGTTGAAGGGGTGAAGATTTGATACAGTTGAGGAAATTCAAGCAGAAACACAGACAGTACTAAACACCCTAACAAAGAAAGACTTCCAGGATGCATTTGAAAAGTGGCAGAAATGCTGGTATCGGTCTATGCGCTCCCAAGGGGACTACTTTGAAGGTGATTGTGCAGAATAAGATCTAGGTAAGATGTAATAGTTTTTATTAATATATTTCGGGAACTTCTGTGGATTGCACCACGCAGTATGAGAAAAAGTGAAAATGTGAAATGGTAATTTATCAATGTAAAATATCGAAACACAACAATAAGCATTTAATGTATTCTCTCCACTATATGAACAATTCAGTTCTAAAACCGGATTATGTAACTTTTGCTACATCATCACACACTTGCAGCATGCAACAATGAACTGCTGAATACCCCACCTTTTGGTTCACGTGGACTATCCCTATGGGTTGGTGGTGGCAGAGGTCTGAATGCATGGGAATCTTCTCTGTGAGGGGTTGGTTGTGATGCAGGGAAAGAGTATGGGCTGAAATGGGGTGGTGGAGGGGATCTGTGATGCCTAAATTTCGCTGGTGAATCATCATCATCATCATCATCATCATCATGAAGAGGTGGGGACCTATAGGGTCGTCTTGGAGGTGGTGATGGTGGCGGTGAATGGTCAAATGGAGAAAATGAACCTCGAGGACCTGGTGGAGGTGGGGAGTAATGATGAGGTGGTGGTGAAGACATGCGACCTAAAGGTGGTGGTCTCCTATCGCCTGGAAATAGAGGCGGTGGTGGGGGCATGAATGGTGCTCCTAGAGGTGGTGGAGGGATGAATACTCCAGGTGGTGGCACTCCCATGAAGCGGCTCGGAGGAAGTGGTTGTCCTGGCATCAATACAGGTAGGGAGGGAGATGTAGGCAGACCATCATGATGTTGGTAGTGTAGTGGGAAGGACGGAGAATCCTGAAAAGCAGAGATGCCCATATGGACAGGCGAGGTTGGGAGCTCCCCATTACTGTCCCCTGGCACTCCTGCACAACAAATAATACAACTTATTACAGCTCAATCATGTCATCTGCAACAAGAAAAAATCATTGTAATCTTGCCACATTTAATTCATACAACAAATACACTTTCTTACCAGTGCCTGTTCAATTTGTGTTTACGAAATGGCACATATAGCTTCAAACATGTAAGATATGGTGGGACAGTCTCATTTCCATTGATACAATCAAAATACAAATGCGTTAATAGCACATTAGGAAAGGTTTTCGTCCTTAAGGATATAACTGGGAGACACCAGAACTTCCAAAAATAGAGGCCATTCTAGGCCATTAACATAGAAAATGCCCATGTTTAAAAGTATATATACCCAAGGCAGTTCATGTGAGAGTTAAGGCATTCAATTCAAGCAGTTGCTTAGTTTGTTGCCAGTCACTGTGCAGTGAACCATGAGTTAATAAAAACAGATCTGCCAGAAGACAGCCATGATGATAGGAAGTGCATTCTGTGAATCATTCACATTTGCTCTTGAGATTTATCAGCTGTGAGCATTCCTTGTGTTTGTGTCTAAACATCGTGAGATGTTTGCTCTTGGGAACTAAAGCTATGCTTCAGAAAAATTCTCAAATACACACAAAGAATATTTAATTAAGATTTTCAACAAATGAATAATCAGTGGAGTACTGTGGCCACTATCTTACCCAGATCTGAACAGGGTATATATAATTTTTTCTTTCTGCAATTTTTAAATAAAGTCTCAGAAATGCAATGTGCTTTGAGGCTTTACAAATCAAAATTCTACTCTAGAAATTGTGGTAAGTGAAATTCAATGTCACAGAATTCGTGATGTCAGTGTGAAATATGCTTGGATTTTAGAGGACACCACATTTAGTAACTCTGTAACGACAGGTAAGTAAAGCAGTTTAGTTGATAACAAATTCTCAGTGGGCATTAAAGTCCAACTAAAATGTGTCACAGTGTATGGGTTTCTTATGCGAGAAAACATGTCCTGCTCTCTCTTTGAACAAGTGGCAATAAGGCTGGAAAGGAAGGAATAACCTGCACTCTTAAGGGCATCAGAAAGATTGTGCCTCTAGACTCCATCATGTGATTTCTTGATAAATATTAAGACAACAATGGCCCTTCAACCTACACATATTTCAAAAAAGAAACATGATTAAAAGTTGAACGCAATGTAGCAACATGATACGAATATTTGTACTTTGGACTCCATCACCAAATTCCTTGATGAACACTGAGATGTATATGTTGCTTGACAACATTTTGACTGACATAATTTTCACAGAAAATATGACTGAATTTAAATGCAATATGAAAATACAGTATTTTTTCCCCATAGATTCCTATTGTGCAAAAAATTATACAAAAGTTACAATTTTATCAAGGGAGCATTTCTGTCTGTGTTCATTAAGGAATATGTGACGGAGCCCACAAATGCAAATTTGTGGACATTCTGTATATGCATGAACATGGGGCCAACTGTTAGGACTGCTGAAGAATTACATTTAAGGGAAGAATGTAGGAGAAATTTTCCCTTCGTCTATAAAAACCCTACCAAGATGGCTTCATGTAATCCAGCAAGCAAATAAAGAAACAGATAATAAATACTCTGTGGCTTCTACACTTCTGTGTTAACTGTTAAGATGTAGAAAAGCTTAATATCCACATAAGAGAAATTTAACTTTTTTCTTCACTTTCTACACCAAAGATCTGGACTTCAGTTTCTATTACAATGTTCTGTTCATAGTTCAAGCTTTATGCTGGTCTAAGAATCTTGTATGGGAAACAAGTATGGAAACTGTTAAGTATTTACACAAATGTCTGCATTCATTCAGAAAGTAGCCTGGCAATATGGAAAATAAGTCTGGCAATTCAAACAATAATGCAGTCTCTTTAGTTCTTTGATGCTGTAATCTCAAATACTTCACTGATTTTAAAGTAGTTCAAGGAATGAAGATGTTCACATTCATAACTATATGAGGCTGTAGAGATAATGCTGTATAGAATCTTGAGTAATACACATCATTATGAGTCACTACCGCATTATTAGTAGTAAAAACACAAAAGCTCTATTGTATCAAAATTGAACTGTCATTAAATTAACTTTCACAAGATCTGAAGGGAAATCATAAGCACTGTTCTTATAATTCGATTTATATTAGCTAACGTTTTTGCCCTCTCCTTCATATAATTAAGGTTTCTTGGACCATGGTTCATGCTGAAGCACATCCTACAGGGCTGTTGAAATATATGCATTAAAAAACAGACATCAATTTTCTATTCTGTAATCCATACAAAAATGTAACTGAGTTCCTTTTAAGCCTAATCCAAAACCATTTAGAACAAAGATGTAAATAAATAAATGGAAAGTTCACTCACGGTCATTCGTCACTGGAGTTTCACCAGACTTAGAAGTATTTATCACATTCTTTTCAACAATAATCAGCCTGTTCCTCAACTGACTTGCTTCCTGTTTACTCTCCTCCAACTTTCTTTCTGCTTGACGTGCTGCCACCTGGAACATGTTGTCACATGTAGGATCTGATGTTCTCACAATGGTGGTTGTCAAGAGTTCTACCTTCTGGGATATAATGCCATGAATTTTGTTGAAAGTCAATGAAGGTTTTTGAGAAACATGCAGACTCCATCTTCATTGTCAAAGAAGGCATGAAGAAGTCTGTGCAAGGATGGTGTCCAAGAACTTCATCCACAGTGCTCTCCAACATGGGGAGAGACCAGTCATGGTCCTGGAACACCCTGTTTCTCATGTATAGCATCCCATGTGACATCTTCATCTTCCCTACTATGAGGACTCAGTTCAAGGGATTACATTTTGAGATCATGGATAAGATTCAGAATGTTACAACAGACATTCTGAACCACCTGCATGAGAATGACTTCTGGAAGTGCTTGGAAAGTTGCAAATAATGATGGAATTGGTGAAGGAACTACTTTGAAGGAGACCACTTCTGATCAGAATAAAATCTAACACTCACATGCGGTGCGTACAACCTCGTTATTTAACTGCCAGACCCCGTAAAATAATTTATGAAAGATAGAGAATGATATCTTACCCAATTTTCATGTGCCTTCTTCTCTAAAGTTGCAATCTGACATCTGAGACCTCTCTCCTGATCCAAAATTTCTTTCTTCAATGTTTCATTCTGTGACCTATAACAAAAGTAAATATAAATCACATTTGTAAGTTTTGAGGTTTTCTTCATATTCTTCATTCTTCATTTATTTACATAAGAAAGGAAATTCAAAATTCTGAAAGTTCATATAAAGATAACATTGGATCTGCAGCAAAGCCCCACTCTATGAATGCATATAGGAGGCACAGCATTAGAGATCTCTCCTTTACAGAATAAACAAACCTCCTACCAGATGCTCTCTAAATGCAAATCGGTCTATTTGATTCTCTGTATTTCGTCTATATATTTTCAGAGTTTAGTACTGTAATGCAGAGTTGCCTGCCAAACATCTTCACATATTACTTAATCATAAATGCCAACTCCATCAGATAAGTCACCTGCAGCTGAACTTTCAAATCAATACCGTCCAAGTTTTTAATGTAACGTAACACAAACAGGCATGTTTAATTTTTTCCACTTCTCCGCTTGAAACACATTGTGCTTCGTCTGCGTGGTGATCATGGTCACATTTTTTGTCATGCCATCTTATTGCCATTACAAACCCTGGACACTGTATTACCAGGCAATATATTTTTAGCTGCATACATAGTGTGTCCAGGTTCTGTTAAGACTGTGTTCATTAAAAATACAAGATGTTAATTATTTTCAAAATTTCACTCTTTTTATACAAAATACTCTCCTTCTGACTCAATACATAGCTGGAATCGATTGAAAAGTTTTTGAAAACAGTCACTGTACTCCTTTTGTGGAATCACATTTAAAACTGCAGTAGATTCCTTTTGGATGTCCTGGATGGTGTCATGATAGTCTCCTTTCATCACCAACTTAACTTTTGGGACCAGAAATCTGCTGGAGCCAAATCTGGCATATACGAGGGATGATCCAAGGACTGTGATCCCTTTTCTGGCCAAAAAATCGCACATGATCTTCGATTTGTGGGGTGGGGCATTGTCGTGGGGGAGTGACCCGGAACCTTGTCTCGATATTCAGGTCAAATTCGAAGAATTCTCGCCCACAAACGATCGAGGACTCCGAGATAATAATCAGAATTCACTGTTTCACCTTCTGGCAGAAATTCCTTGTGAATGATTCCTTTGGAATTGATGAAAACGGTTAGCAGTGTCTTTACTCGACTCTTTTGCATGCACACTTTCTTTGGTTTCGGCTTATTTGGGCTCAACAACGCTGCACTCTGCCACTTTGTGAGAGGCTCATATTGAAAACACCATGTCTCGTCACCAGCAACAATCGATTTTGTAAATTTTGTATCACTTTGAGCCGACCGTAACATGTCTTTGCAGTGTTCCACTCTGGCATGTTTTTCAATGCTTGACAGCATGTGCGGTACAAACCGCGCAGACCTTCTGTTTGCCCAAATCCTCAGTCAAAATTTGATGCACAGTACTTTGTTGTATTCCCAAAAGCTCTTCGATGAGTATTGCAGAAACACATCTGTCTGATGCAGGATTTCAGTCACTTTTTTAACATTTTCTTCAATGCGACTTGTTCTCGGCTTTGATGCATGTGGAGCGTTTTCAATATCCTTCCTGCCGTCATGAAATACAGCATACCATCAAAAAATGTTTGAGCAACTCAAACAATCACTACAGTACACACTTTTCATCATTTCATACGCTTCTCTGGCTGCTTTGCCTAACTTCAAACAAATTTGGATGTCGGCTCTCTGTTCAACCGCCATTTTCCAATGAGCATCAGAACAATACTGTTACATTCAAGGTCAGAACACATGATGCAGTGATGCACAGCTGAAACTTCAAGAATCTTAACACCACAACTTGCCAACAGATGGCACTGCAGGGCAAAATTTAAAAAAATTAGTCCTAACGGATCCTGGACACAGAGTATTTTCACATCTTTCATAACATATTTTCTGTTTTGTTTCAAAGTAAAATTACAGTTTGCTTTATTCATAACAATCAGTGTTCTTACTAGGATGGGCAAGTTTTGGAAATTATCCATCTGTGTATTATGCCCAGGCTTAAGTAGGGGTTCCACCAACTTTAGAACAATAACAGCTGTTTTATATACAATGGCTGGTAAGAGGACTCCAGTTTCATGTTCTTGCCATTGTAAACAAGGATGTTCCATAAACAACCTGTCCCTGCATCTTTATCTCAAATTGTGAAGACTCAGAGGAAAATATTGTTCAAATGATAGACAGCCTTCCCATAATCCTATAGATACATCAACAGATGTTTTTCCCTGACAGAAACAATCCTGAAATTTAGTATGTTCACGTGTGAAAAGTTATGGTGGTATGAATCCTTTCATTAGTAATGAAATAAAAAAATACATGTAACTTCCAGGTGCTCTCTTGTAATATCACTAAAGCATGGCACTGACAGGATCTAATTCATGAAGAAATATGATCAATGTGCAAGCTTCAGAATTACACTCATGAACATGAATGACCCCAGCACTACATATATTTCCTACTCTGTCAACGATTTTCATGATCTAACAACTGATGCATGTGAAAACAGGCATCACAAAGAATTTTGTAATTGTAAAAGACAACAACTGGTCTGTCACAATCACTAGGATAAGTTATATGAAAATCAATTTTAAATTGGGCACCATGTTCATTATGCCTTCTGATGGTTTGTCTTTCCTTCCAAATCAAAGTTTAGAACAGAATCTTCTTCCTGATCACTATCAAAATCAGTCCTTCAATCATCTTCAATTGCTGCTGTACTGATCATAGTATGTTTGTTGGCTGTACAAATGAATCATTATATTGGCAAATTATGGAGCAATTACAGCAAAATATTCCCAGTATTCTCAGAATTCCTACATTTCTTTCCCATTTGATTTTCTGTGCTATCCATTTTAACTAAGAGCAATTTCAGTGCCACAGATAATTTGAAATTAACGAAGGAATGCCAAGAGAAATAACTTTACAGTTGCAGTACACTGTTAGAGACAAATATCATTTTCATCAGCTGTGACTGACGTTCCTGAGCCAGAAACTTCATTTTGATAAAAAAAACAATAAATCTTTCTATATTTAAAACTCTATCAAATGAATCAACATCATTAGCTATCATGCACATCAACATCAGACATCATGAGGAAATGTGTCAATGCTGCACTTACTTGTAATTTTCAATTTCTCCTTGAAGGTAAGTAATTCGCTCAGATGTGGATGTTGCATCTCCTTCTTTCTGCAGGCACATGGCTTCCTGAAGTCCAAGCTCTCTGAAATAATGATTGACACTTCCTATGATTGGCAGATTCAAGGTAATTTACTGAAAATCAGTTACAATTCAAGTAATAAAATATTTCAATGAACTTATGGTTGCCCTCTGCCAACATCTGTGCTGAAAATATACTGAAATGAAATATCACATGAATGAGTACATGAAAAAAAATACTTGCTAATATAATAAAGACAAAATGGCAAAGTGCTGCAATGGAGACAACGCAGCTAATTCAAATATTACACCACTTTGGTTTATACACTGCTCATTCTCTGTTACTATAATGAAGACAAAGTAATAACAAATGACCAACAAATAAATCAAAGTATACCCAGAATTAACCTTAACTAGTTATGATTTATAACAGGCAACAATAATCTAACAGCAACAATATACAAACTACTATTCTCCAACTTACCCACCTAAAAGAGTGAAATAGTTTCACTTTCATATATATACACATATACATATAGCAGGCTCTTTACAGTGACAATGAATACAAACCGCATATTTTAACTTCATTACACTCTATAACAAGTTTTCATTACACACTGTACCAACAACGTCTGCAACAAAGTAAAACACCAATCATCAAATCCACATACAGATTCTGAAATCTGTTCTGATCATGTGGAACAACATACCATCTGAATAATTCAATGGCTCTAAAATCAGACTATGTATCTACTACATGCCATGTAGCAATGACAAGCAAGCACTCTTGCCACACAGACTCAGCCACATTTTTTTATTTATCTCAGCCTTCAAACATAAGGATGGAATATATGAACTATACACACATTTGTAAGATCTGAGGTTTTCACAGCAGTGACTATGAAGAAAGCGGTCTTCTGGGATGTGGCACCATGTAGATAGTGTGTTCACTGACGTTTGGGAGGAATGTATCGCCTCCATCTTCAGGGTAGAAGAAAAAATAAGAAAATCTACAAGCGAAGAACCAGCGTAAGCAGGTGCTAACAGACTAAAGTCGAGAATAAACCCAGCTGTATAAGAGCCAGAAGAGAAGGGAGAGGGGCTACATGGGAAATCAGTAGAGAGGAGAGGGGAAGGGTCTGGGGAGGTGGGCCAGCAGGTAGCAGGCCAGAGTAGTTACAGAATATTGTGTCGAGGGAGAAAGGCAAGGTTAATAGAAGGGCATTAACCCGTAAGCTTCAGGGTTGCAATGCGAGTTGGGCATGGACTAGCCTTGAGGATCTGGCGTCATGTCCCGGAGGTTTCTTGAGGGAACTGATGAGAGGTTTCCATGACTTGCTGAGACAAACCCCCACCTCTCTGTTCATATTGTTGGGATGGAGTTCAAACTCAATGGCCTCCCTAATGATGCGATCCATATATCGGGTCTTGGTGGCAAGGATGAAGGTATTCTGAAGCTGAATGCAGTGTCCCAAATCGATACTGTGTTCAGCCACAGCCGACTTGTCCAGATGTTTGAGACAGATGTGCCGCTGATGCTCCTTCAACCTTGTGTCAACGGAATGGCCCATCTGTCCAATATAGACTTTGCCGCCACACTCACATGGGATACTGTATACACCCAGTGACCTTGGCCCCAGGCTATTTTTGACTGGCAGGAGGACACTAGATAATTTCTTCGGAGACAGGCCCACTGATTTGATGTTGTGCCAGGACAACACTCTGCTGATTCAGTTGAATATAGTCCCAACATAGGGCAGGAAAGAGACTGAGTCCGGTTTATCATTGGGCCAACTGATGTTTGGACATTGGTTGAGAACTCTGTGGATCTGCCAGTGGTTGTAATTGTTCTGCCTGAAAACGTCCCCCAGGAGCATCAACTCCACATGTAGGCTGTCTTGATCGCGTAGAGCTGTAGCCCTGTGCACCAGTCTCGAGAGTACAGCTTGCTTGTTCAATGGGTGGTGGCGGTGGGACGCAGCGTTAAGGTAGAGGTTTGTATGGGTGGATTTGCAGTACACTCTATGGCCCAGAGAACCATCAGGTCTCCTGTAAATATATATATCCAGGAAGGGGAAGTGGGCCTCAACTTCAGTCTCCATTGTGAGCTGAATGCACTGGTGAATACTATTCAGATGGTTCAGAAGTGTTAACACAATATCTACACGGTGCCACATCCCAGAAGACTGCTTTCTTTATACAGACATTTACTTTTTTCTTTCATAGTGATGAATTTGTGTAAATTACAAAATGAAATACAGTACATATGATACTGTCATCAATATACTATGGTCATCCTTTAAATTATAAGCGAGGGAAAATATACTTACTTCTGAAGTTGAGTTTCTTTCTCTTTGAAATAGTTAGACAAAACTTCAAGTCTTGTTTGAGCCTCGATTTTTTCCCTCTCAGCTTCTTCATAATTTCCTCTCAATCTAGTAACCTCTTCACTAATAACCATCACATGGTCTGAAAATTATAAATTAAGAAGTATTAAGACCTGTCCCCATTTTGTTCTGTGAAATTATATTGGACTATAATATATCATAAGGAAGATACCAATCAATATTATAAAGAGAGATTCTTACCTTTGTTGACCAGATCACAGCTCTGTGCTTCACGGTGACCAAAGCAATGCCGGCTACAAGGAAGATACAAATTTTGCTGATGAATCAGTATGCCTGATGGCTGATAATGTTAGGAATTCAGGGGAGTCAATAATTCTGTGCACTGGTTGGTGGCAATATTATGTTTCATGTATGTGAAATGCAGATCTGCTACAAAGTGTTGGCGAAAATTTTGATGTAAATTTCATGATGAAAGAGTTCCTAGCAGACAAACAATTCACAATTTCATGATTAAACTTAGATCAATAGGACTCATTTAACATACAAGGAAAAAACATAAGTGCTAAGAGCTTACTAAGGAAAAGTTAGATGATATAGGAGCCAGACTTGAACCAGCACCTAGACAATCACTGAAATATCTAGCTCAAGAGACTAGAGTGTCAAAGTCTAGTGCAAGAACAGCAACACAATTTCTGAAGCTTAGACCCTATAAAACAACAGTAATCCAAGCCTTGCAGCCTCATGATCCAGCTAGCAGGGCTCACTTTTGCATTTGGTTTCTACAGTCTGTCATCGAAGGTGAGATTTCTCCACAATTGACATTCTTTTCTGATGAAATGTGGTTTCACTCGCAGGGATACATAAATATGCAAAATAATCACTACTGGAGTTCACAGAACCCACATCTAACCCTTGAAGTCCTGCTCCATTCAATGAAAGTTTGTGTTTGGTGTGCTGTAAGTGGAAGAAGGATTGTTGGCCCTGTGTTTTTAATGAAACAATTAATTGTGAAAGATATGTACAGGTCACATTCTTGGACAACTCTCCCCAGAGTTACTAGAAGCAGAAAGACATTATGACTGGTTTTACCAAGACTCAACTACTGCCCACACTGCACATGCCTATGCAGGCTTTATCCAATGTCTTTGGGGACAGAATAATCAGCAGTGGTTTTGGCCAGCACATTAACCCTATCTCAATCCTTGTGACTGTTTTTTCTGGGGTTGTTCGAAGGACAAAGTATACAACAGCAAGCCCTAGATAGAAGAACTAAAAGAAAATATTCATAGGTAAAGTGCAAATATTCCTGCAGAACAGCCTCAAAGGTTAAAACAGAACTTCTTCCACCGATGAGAGGATTTTCTATGTCTAGAGTGACAGCATTTTCAACACCTCCTGTGATCTGTGAATTGTAATTATTTCATTCCAAATGTTACTGACCAATAGGCATATTGATTCTTTGGAAAAATTCATGTGTGTCTCGCAGCTGGGGGTGCACTGGTCACCATGAAGCACAGATCTGTGAACCGGTCAACAAAGGTACGAACCTCCTCACTGATACAAAAATGTACCTTACCTTCAAGCAATTTTCTTGCATCTACTTCACCTTGAAGTTTCTCAGCTAATGTATCTCGTTCAATAGTCATAAGTTTCAATTCTGATTTGTAGCTTCCCACATCCAATAATACCTGGAGTTTATCATCGATCTCTTCATCACTAGCATTCTTCAGCTGTTTCACACAGTCTTGTAACACTGCTATCTCACTTTCTTTTGTGAGTATATTGTGTTTAAGTTCAGTTACTGTTTCCTGCAATGTGCTCTTTTCTTTCTGAAGTTGATCAATATCCCTGCTTATTCTGTCTTCTTCCTACAGAGACAGAAAGATAGTCAACACCCCTTAATATCCAACTTAGCACCACTTATTGCACTACTCCTAACTTAACAGGTTAGATGCCAACTTCCCAGATTGTCAGCATTGATTCAAGGCCAGTATAACTTGCGAATTTTGAGGCAGGAAAAATGGCACTGGTGCAGGTTCGCCTCTGAATACTTCAGATTTCCCCTGACAGCTGGAATTGCATCGCTACTTCACTCTTTTCAACACCATCCCTGAGAGGCGCAACAACCTGGCTAGTCAACAAAATAGCACCACCTCAGTTTTTTGTCATGGTCTCGCCTCTGAGCAAGAATTTGGCAAGAAATAGAAAATTAATTAATTATTGGAATAATAAGCCATCCAGTGTAACAAATTTAATATAGTACACCAAAGCATATGTATAGACTTACATAATGTCATGTTTATAAGTAACTGATCATAAGCTGGGTTCCGACTGGATTCACTGACCACTTTAACACACGACTAGTGACAACACTTTTATAGTGACATTGTTGATTTCCACACTTTACAAATCATTACAGCACATGCTAAGTCTTTTCAATCTGCTGTGTCTTCACCAGTTGCTCCTTGGTAATGGCTTCTAGAGCACAGATTCTTCAGCTTCTGTGCTCACTTTGTTGCCCACTGGCTCTCAACTCTCCCTTACAACTCAACTAAATTTTAAATTTGTTCCACTGATAACCCCATGGCACCAACAGTGTAAAGAAACACTCTTTTCAACAGTTCCTCTATTGTTGTGGACTCATTGTTGTGGGGAGATTTTTGTTTGTAAAGGCATTACTCAATAATGGCTGCATATATTTGCTTATTAAGAATCTGTTCTCTAGTAGCAGATGCTGTTCCACTGTTTCACGATCATTATGCTGTAATGGGTCTACACACTACAACATTTTGGACCTTGGGGCCATTCTCAGAGGCATGACAAGTAAACGATATTAGTACAAATATTAGAGAATATACGGAACTACATTTAGCTTTACACTTGCAGGTCTTAAAATATGGTTCACATTTATAAGTCATTAAAATTGTACACAATATACTCTTAAAAGTTTTTAAAGTAAAAGTATGTATAGTTTTGACTTATATTTTCCAAGTAATAAATTAGCTAAAGTGCAGATGGGTGAATATTAATCAGGAATTAGGACATTCAATAATCTACCACAAGGCATCAGAAATCTATTAAATGATATTACTAAATTTCAACATGCTCTAAAAGACTTTCTTCTTGCTGGTTCATTTTATTCTTTAAATGAATATTATGAATGGAACACAAGGGGTGATCTTGGTTCTTATAAATAGTATCTAAAATTAACCTTAACAAGTCCTGTTAACTAACTAAAAATATATAATCATCTATTTTAGATCCGCATACATACCAACAATGACTTATTTATTTTGACATACAATCTCTTGTTGTTTTATGAATGTATTTATTTATTTATGAATGTACTTATTACCATAATTTTTAGTACACTTCTGAGAGAAGGTGTTGACTCGCCTATTACCATAGTAACGACAGCACTACGATGCCGCTACGTACCGCTGGGGAGGGAGGGGGTGTCCTCCAAAGCGCGCCACGTCACAATATGCATTGTTTTTATAAACTGGATGAATTTTATTAAGATAAAAGGTTAATATGTTCTCATCTAGTATTTAAGTCTTGTAGTCACATTTTATTATGTTTAGTGACTGTGTTGTCTGTGTTTTATATTATGTTATTTTGACTTGTTCCAGAGATTGGTTGGAACATTTGTTTTGATTTTTGACGCATTCTATAGCCAGTGGTGTGACAACTTGTTTCTCGCCCTGTAATTGGATCTACTTGAATATAAGAATAAATTATTATTATTATTATTATTATTATTATTATAGGTCATTAGTTCTTCCTTCCATACAGCACACAAATATTACTACATTACTCCATGTCATACCTTCTGTTTCTTTTTTGTGTGATGTTGGGCTCTTTATCTTACTATTTATTAAAAATATCTGTCCTATTGGCCGTGTGCAGTGTGTGTACTGGACTGGAGTTTGCTGAAGTAGTATGAGGGATAAAAAGGAAGGTCTACTGCTACAAGTGTTCATACGAAGATTCCTAGTATTCCACTGTTCCAAAATTGTAGAGGATATCGGTGGAAAAGCAAGAAGGAACGAGACCACTATGAAGACCGAAACATAGGTGGGTGGATAATATTAAAGTGGATCATATAAGTAAGATGGGGTGGTATGGACTGGATTTATCTAGATCAAGATGGGGACCGTTGGAGGGCTCTTGTGACCATGGTAATGAACCTTCAGGTTCCATTAAATGTTGGGACATTCTTGAGTAGCTGCACAACTGATGGCCTCTCAAGAAGGGTTCAGTTCCATGAAATTGGTTAGTTATGTTTCATTATATGAAATTTAACCAAATACTTGACTGTCACTCAACCAATGTGCCTAATGTGGGAGAATGTAGTAAAATCAGATGTTCCATGCCGTACTTTACGTATTAAAACTGCACACAGGAAGCGTTCATGTAAACTGACAGCAGCAGGATAAACAGAACTTAAATGCCATCACAGAAAATTAAATAAAACTACTATAAGATACAAAGTAATACAAACCTCACATAGCTGTGCTTGTAGTGATTTATTCTTTTCCAACAACTCTTCTTCCATCTTCAGTTTAGCAGCGAGCACATCATTCAGATTTTCATTCGCCTAAAATTAAAATAATGCCTTGGTATACAGAAGTGCAACCTTAGAGTTCCATTCACACAGAGAAACTTCGTATATGAATAACCTATCAGTATTACAGGAATGCATTCATAGCCTTCATAATTTATCAGTTCACAGTAAAAGAATTTGATGATTATCAGCATCCACCAGAAAACTCACCAGCTTTGATCTAACATGATGGCTTCTACTGACATTTTAGTGGCTTTGTTATCATTACCACTAAATTTTCTTTGTGTAGACATATGGGGTACAGATTCAACACAGTGTAGATACTGATATATCACAATTCATGCAATGAACATGGCAAATGGAAACTATACTGTACACAGTGCACTACTGGATGCCAATAAGCCTAGGTACATGTAAACAAACATTCTATATATCATATACACAAAATGAAATTATTAGTTTCATTATTATTGTTGTTGTTATTATTATTCACTCATTCATTCATTCATTCATCATTGGCTCTACAGCCCTTTGTTAGACCCTGACCTCTTTTTCAGTTTCATAATCTTTTTATAAACATGGTAGGACTCCTTGGACGAGTGATCAGCCCGTTGCAAGGTTGCTATCTACACACAGGACAACATTAACACAGGATAAATGCACACACAAAAATCCATGCCTTTGAGTGAGTCATTATTATTATACAGGCAATTAGCAGAAAAATCAGAAAAATACTGAGTTTTGCATTTATGGCCACTGAAGTTGATATTAAAATTTCACTAGAGGTATTTGATGGCTCTGCAGGCCCTCCTTACATGGCTTCTCAGACTCTTACTTATCATGGAAAATTAGATGCATAGAAGATGTTATGTGTGTAAGCCAAATTTTCCTTTCAACCTTTGAATTCACCCTCCACCACTCACACAATATACTACTTCCCCTTTTTCCCACTTCTCTCAATCAGCCAGCCAGCAATTTCCTTTAAAGCAAGTGCTATGAATTAATACTGGCCTATGACTGCATTAAAATGAAGTTGAACTCATATTTCAAATTACAATAATGAAGTATACATTTTTTTTCCACATATATTCTTCGCAATTTTTCTTACCTATACTGGTAAAATTTTCCTGAATTCATTATTCTGTTTGTAATTTCTTCTTCCTTCTCCCACCTGTCATTACTTTCCTTCCTAAGTATTTAAAATTATGAATTTAAAAAATCTGAATACTCACATACTTTAGAGATGAGTACGTGAAACTGAACAGGCCTCACTGCGTACAAAATGAAGTAACGAAGAAGACCTTAGCCATACATCCAGTACTCCAGCTTGTTTTCTTAACCATACAATTATCCAAACTGACATTTAATACAAAATCTTTATAAACTGTAAATTCTTGTCCTTATATTTCATCATATACAAACCATAATGAAAAACAACTTATTTTTTTAAATTCTGGTTAGATAAATATTTCATATCACATTCTAATTCTCTGTACAATTTCTCAGAAATTTAATCAATTCTAAACCCAATTTGGGCCTCGTGTAAAGAAAGGGTTATAACTGATGACATGGACCAAAATTAAATTTGCGTGAAAAATTTCAGTGTAGATATTCAGTACAAAATTTAATAGAAATCCTTTGAACAGCTTTGGAGATGAAACACACACAGACAACCAAGACCTCTCCACTGGGCATCAACTTATGCAATATCACGATAAAAGACAAAATAATGATTGAGACATAATGGAACAAGATCTCTAGAGGAACTACCACAATAATCACGAATTTTTTCAGATGTCTTATATGAACAGGTAGAGCAGCTTTAGACACAGAATTTCAGAGAAAAACAGCATAGTTTGACCAAATGAAGGAGTATACACAGAGCACATAAACAGGACAGACAAAGTAAGGCCAAAGGTTGTAGGAAGAGAGAACAGAATGAGAATAGTTTACTATAGAGGCAAATCAAAAATGTAGACTACAACGACAATTTCAAGATTTTGCTAATCATTCATTAAGCAAAAATTCAGTAAACTAAAGTGAATTTCATACTAAGTGAACCAGACGTAATATGTACGGAAATAATACCCTAGAAAGGTGACTATATTAAACATGCACAAGCATGTGTGCACACAAAAACCGCCAACTTATGTAGGCAGCCAGCATCATAATACAAAGATGGCGTTTAGCTAAGTGGGGAGGGCTGGTAATATTTTCATATCTTGACATATTTTGGTTATAGTGAAAATTCATTATGCACACTGATGTAGTAGTATTAATTTTTCAATGCATTAATGCAAAGATATGTCACCTGAACATCCACATAGTGATGAGTTAGCAGACTGATTAAGTTCCTTATATAGAACCTTCCAATACCAGTGTTCACTGTGTTAAAATAAAACTCTAGTAATCATTTGAAGCACAAAAAATAATATACTTCATTCAACAATGTGTGTGTTTACCTTCAGCATATCTGCTTCTAAAGAGATAATTTTATGCTTTGCACCATTTAAATCAGCCTGCAGAGTTTCATTCTAGAAAGAAAACAGAAAAAAATACATTAAAATTCACATACTGGATAAACTGCGTATCAGTATACAGATACCCAAAAGCAATGTTCAAAATATCATAGAATGCAGACATCTTTTTTTTTTTTTATTGCTAGTGGGGTGGGACTAAGTCCCTTGTACTGAGGCCACTTCTGGCCTATTCTACCAGCCCCAGATGATAGGTGAGGGTGATTGTGGAGCAATTGGTGGAATGAAGACTGGCAGGGGAAACCGAAGTACTCGGAGAAAACCTGCCCCAGCGCCACTTCGTCCACCACAAATCCCACTTGACCAGAACCAGGATCGAATGCAGGCCGCAGCGGTGGGAAGCCAGTGACTACTGCTTGAGCTATGGCGGGGCCCATGCAGACATGTTGCTGGGCAACAACCATGAAATTAGCAAATATACGGCAGCCGTTACTGAGTAACACCTTCACAAACAAACATGTTCCCATGCCAACAACTGAACTACAATTCAGGAGTGGTATTTTCTACCCAGTCCATGCCAAAGTGCTATAGGTAGAACAGGTCTAGAATTTAGTCGGTTGAGTTTGAGTCAATCTGAAGAGTAGGAGGTTGGTGTGAGTTGGCTGTCAGCCTGGGAATTATCATTAATGCAGTACAGTAAGGAATTGGTTGGTTAGTTAATTAGTCAGAGAACTGCAGTGCAGTCATTGTGAGCTGTTGCTGTTAGAAGCTGGTAGCTGTGGCATGGAGACAGTTGGGGAACCCAGAGTAAGCGAAATATCCAAAATTGGAAGCTGTTACTGGTAATGTAACTGCAGACAGAGAAGACTTAGTATGTGCTGTAGTGAACTGCAGTGTGTGTGAATTAGCGATAGTGCTATAGTTACTTGTAGTTACAATCTGTAAGTGGTCAGTAAATCCAATTTCCAATCCAAACCCCATCTATAGTCACTCATACATGTGACAATATTCATTTTAATTTAACACTGTTCAAAAGATAAAACTCAGTTCACCACACGAATGTGTTGCATTACATACTTAAGTCAGATACAGGGAAACCACCATTTAAGGTTTCTTTGTGGGTTTTAATGCTACTTTAAAGAAGATTTTATATGGAGGAAATTTAAAACGCAAGATTAGTGACTTGGATATCACTGAAACTGAATTTTAAATGGGGAAAAGCCTTAAATTAAATAACATTAAATTGGGGTTCCACTGTATGTTGCTAAATTAGAGCACTGTGGGACAAAATATTAAACAAGTATACCTCTAGGATTTTATCATTCAGGGAAGCAGTCATTGTGGTGATAGTGCTTTGCTGTGAATCTAGTTGCTTCTGCAGTTGCTCCACACTCTTCATGACTGTGTCAGAACCATGCTGAGCTGAGAGGAATTCTGAGAGCATGCGGTTCAGCTCAAGACCAGCCTCTGTAGCCACCTCCAGTTCCTTCTCAAGAGATGCTACCTGCTCCTCAAGCTCTGCTCTGACAACCTACACAGAAACAAAACTTCACTACTGAAAACCATTATGTCAGAACTCTCTCATTTCACAAAAGGCATGACCACTGAAAGTGGTACAAACATACCAGTACCGCCAAACCTTCCTCCCATACCATCATGGTGCTTAATCAATTAGTTAGTTAGTTATTGGAGAGGGTGGGTTTCCCCATGCACTTAGACCAGTACTGGTCCATTGTGCTTCCCTCTATGATATTCTGCCAGTCTCTATGGTGCGTACCATCAGTCCCGCTGAGCCAGCGAGTTCAGCCTCCACTAGCTTGGCAGTGTCTATAATGCTTCCCTCATCTATCAGAGGCCTTAGAGACTACTGTTGGGCGGGAAACATCCTTGAATTTAGCTCAGTGATCTCCTTTGGAGATATGAGGTTCTTTTACGTGCCGTAAAGCTACGACATGGGACACACAGCTTAAAGTCTCTCCCGGAGGACTTGTTCCCTGAATTTTTCCGCCCTTAAAAATTCGACAACCTCCACCAGGTATTTGAACCCGCGTACCACGAGTCATGAGGTGGGAACGTTACCTCTAGACTACAGAGGCCGCTGCTTAATCAATTTTACCACTCAATGATATATATTCTCTAGATACTGACACATCATAAAATAAACCCCCTCAAAACAACATATATCTGAAGTGAGCTTCAAAATTTACTTGTGTGGCACTACATGGAAAACACTAAAACACACTGGGATACAGACATCAAAATATGGACAATAAATTTTGTGATACATATAAATAAAATATATATATTTAAAAATTAGGTGCACAAGATCATCTATGTCATTTCCTCCAAAAGCTGTGAATGCTGTCGTACATACTGTTATACAAAAGCAAATCAAATATTCTAGGTAACAGGTACAATGTGTAAGTACATAATAATTTACATTGCAGAAATTTGTTTTGTTAGAATGTAGCAGTTTTAGTGAATTTAATCATGCGAGAATAGAGCAGCAACATTTCTAGTGTTCATGTTTTTCCCAAATAATTAAAACCCGTAAAACTATGGGATTCAAAGGACCTGAACTTTGTTTGTAACATAATCATTTTATAAATTCACCCTTAATATAAACCAAATTCAAAGTAATTCAGAAATCTCTGATCAGGAAGACTAAGATAATGTTAGGACACCCAGGCACAAATGGATGGATAATATAAAAATGGGCCTTGAAGAAACAGTGCATGAATGTGTGAGTGAAATGAACTGGTTTAGGATAGGATAGGTTTCTGTGACCCAATAATGAACCTTCAAAGCTTCTTAAAAGCAGGCTATTTCTTGATGGTCTGAGTAACTATCAACTTTTAAAGATCTGGCACCATGAAGCCAGTTTGTTACTAACTATCCATCTTTAGTATGACCTTACCTTAGATTTTTCCAGTTCAGCATTTAGTGTCACAACCATTTCACTGTTATTTAAAGAGGAACTTTCAATAGAGAGGAGTTTTTCCCTTGTGGCTTCTAAATCATCCTTCAGTATCAGACATTCTTTAGATGATACCAGTAATTCCTTCTCCAAACCATTGATTTTAGCAACCAATGAGCCATCTCTTCTTCTTCTCTGGGAAGCAAACATTTATAACATTCTGGAGAGAGATATTACCTTCTAAACATAACCTAATGCACCAATGAAATTAAAATAAAATATGAAATGGACAAATATCGTCAGTTAAATAACAAATATAGTAATCCAGTATTAAGTAACAGTTAACAAACTGATATATTGGGTTTCTGGACTTTATCCATCGTCCTGGTTTTTAAGATAACTAATAAAAACCCAACAGAATAGGTGTTTTCCTTCACCTGAGGACGGAAACAGATCCAGTTTCCAAAACGTCGTGTTTTTATTAGTTATGTTAAAAACTAGGATGATGGATAAAGTCCAAAAACCCAATATATCAGTGTGTTATACACCATCCTCAGAATCCTATAGTAACTAACAGTTAACAAAGTTAATCTTTCTGATATAGAATTTACACAAAAATGTACTTTTTAAAAATGACATTAAAAGATAACTCACAAAAGTATAAAACTAACTAATTAAAGCTGAGCCATTCTTGATAATCCACCAATTCTGCAGCTACTCAAGAACTTCCCAGCATTTTATGGAACCCAAAGGTTCATTACCATGTTCCAGGAGCCCTACACTGGATGCTATCCTGAGTCATATTGATCCAGTCCAAAAATTCTGATCCATTTTCATTCTTCATCTAATCTTATACAGTTGATATATAAATAATTTTTAATTATTATTCAGGAAAAAAGACCTACCAGATCCTTATGTAATGATGTAGTGCAATAAAAATAGTGGAGCTACATTATTATTAATTTGAAGAAAACAGGTACTGCATACATAGACTAAGTTGTGCAAATCTGTGTTAAAAAATGCATTCACTGATGTTATGACAGCAATTCTAATCTTATTGCAAGAGTAAACCATACTGGATTTATCACAAACAATACTATAAGGGCAGTACTTTGAATCAAAGAGCAAACTTTTATACATGGACAGTAAACTCCAAGTTACCTGGTACTGAACCAGCTGCAAATGTGATGCAAATGGCAAAAATTTCAGAGAAAAATTTACACATTTTATAAAGTTACTTTAAAAACAAACTTGCAATATGCATTAAGTCCACTGAGTTTCTCTCACACAACCAGCAGATTCATTTTACCAGCAGGCCCTATCCCCCACACATGCTGGATAGTGGAGAGCCTGCTGTACCCATGCATGCATGCACAGGTTTATATCAATTTTTCATTTACTGTTACTTATTTACTGATCGAGCTACCGCCACTTGTCAGCAGAGTTAGTGCCAACTTTAGTGGATAGAGGGTGTCGCGTGGTCAGTGCAACAGATCCCCACAGCCATTAATTAATTCGCTTGCAGACTACAGGCCACAGAGTTTGTTTTGTTTTTTTACTCATTTATAATATCCTTAATGATATCTTCCACATTTTATTAAAAGCACTGATGGCCACAGGTGGTCCATGAAACATAGCCTGCTGATCCTTTGCTTTATACAATAAAAAAAAACTATCCCTGTAACAGGCCATGGAGGCTCACGGGGTTTCGAGACATCAAGGCTCCTACATTTTCTAGATGATCAGCTCACAGATGGCAGTGAGGCTGTCAGCCTTACATGCCAGCTGCCCTTATCCACAGAAGATTCCTGGTACTCATTTCTGTTTGAGGCTCAAATGTGAACACCATAATCTGAAGCAGCACCTTACCTCAATGTAATAATGTCCTAATGAAAACAGTAATACTGTAGCAGCAGTAATGAGGTAGACAACAGTCTCATAAGATGATTGCTGCACGTCCATTGTAAAGTTACCATCTTCAGGGAACTGAAAATACAGTGAACAACTTTATATATTGGTGAGATATGGCAGCTCAGTCATTACAGTGACTGACTATAAGTCCACTGACCAGGATTCAATTCTTAGTAAAGGTAGCAAATTCTGTCTTTGACATCACATCCAGACTAACTCTAAGGCCCACCAATTCTCCTACTCAGCAACTCCTGGAAGGTGTGGATAAAGGGGACAGGGCATGAAGCTAACCATCCACTTCCATCTATAGCCAAGGGTATGACCTTCATTCTTCCAAATGTCTTCATGGTATGATGTTTAAATTATGCACAGTGATATTACCTTTACCCCTTACATTGTATCTTGATTAGGAAAAGAAAAAACAGTCTACTGAACAAATCTCACACAAATTCAAGCAAAATATACACATGCATAAAGTGAGACTTTGTCTTTGTATTCATGAATTTAAGTCCCCCCCCCCTTTATGTATGTCTTCATTGGTTCCAGCTGAAAGCCCATAAAAACCATGTTAAATTTGTAAGTATTTCACATTTCCTCAAATGTATGATTTTCTCAAATTCTGATTTTATTTCTCTAGTCCTGACAATAGAAATTTGTTCAGTTTTACAGTTCAATATTCTGTGTGCACTTATTTAATTCTTTTGTTGTTTCCAACACGATATATTACACATTTCTTCTAGACTTTGTGCAATTTGGATGGAATTTCTCAAGAAGGTACAAGTACCATGTGTCCATCCACAGTACTTGTATTATGTTCCTTATGTTTTATTTAATGATGTTTTTGGTAATGAGACTATAAAGCATTAAATGATGGGATTATAAATGAATTGTAGAGGATTAGGATGGAAGTGGCTGTAGTCCAAGATATTATCCCAGAATTTGTCTGGAGGGACAGAGGAAAACCATGAAAAGCCTCAGTCATGACAGCCAGTGTCCTGGCCACAATTCAAACAAAGGACCTCCGAAACACAAGTCTAGAGCGTTACCTCTAAACCAACCTGTTCAATCCATTTCAGCTACATTACATCGTCAAACTCTCAAATGCCACATATCAATCTTAATAAAAGAACAGGGAAGTATATTCTTGTCCTACTGCAATGATTTAGTCACAACCTAAAAACTGAGTTTAAAATGTAGAAAAGTTACATTCTGCAATTCTAGCAACCACAGAAAAACCACCAGTTTAGCAATAAGGTATTTCTCAGAAATGTCTATAAACAAGCCATCTGAAGATACAGCTGACCAAGTAATATTTATCAAGAAAACTGAATGAAATAACATTTGAATGCACTTTTAATTTCATATGCAAACTTTGAAACAGCCACAATTGTTGTTTACAGAAAACATTATATAAATGAAACTTAGTAACTGAAGTATATGAACGACAATTATGATGCTGTAGTGTGTGTTGCAATATTATATGACTTTATTTGTCCCTGGTACCTCTCTAAATAAGCATTATTTTTTCCTGTGGCGCTACAGCCCCAATTTGGGCCTGGGCCTACCTCCATGAAACTCTCCGTTTCACTTCGGTTTACTAGATCTTACGCATACGGTAGGACTCCTTGGGCGAGTGATCAGCTCGTCGCAAGGCCTCTACCTGTAGACAAACACAGAAAAACGCACACAAACATCCATGCCCTGAGTGGGATTCGAACCCACGATCTCGGTTTCCGAGCGAGCGAAGACAGTACATGCCTTAGACCGCTCGGCTACTGTGACAAATAAGCATTATAGCTGTCACAAACATCTACACTTGTGCAAACATAAAATTATAAGTAAACTAATGGTTACATCAGTGTTTCTGGAACCTAAAATTGTTCACAATCAGAGGAGTCAGCATATTCGGCATTGACATATACATAATTTATATAATACCTTTCTACTGGGGAAATATATCATGCAGAAAAAACATCACCATTACCTTCCCACTGAGAATCAGGCCCACGTGGCTCATTACACATATTAAAAAACATAACCCTTATATGTTTTCAGGTCATCCTAAGCATCTACCCTCTCCAAATCTACAATTCTAACTTCCTTTCTGAATGCCATATTACCACAGCTTATTCTACCAACATGTTCCTATGTTGTAAAGGTAAGGCAAAGTTGTCCCTGTGCTTAACTAATACATCAACACACCATGAAGTTGTATGAGGGAGTGGAGATATAACTCAAATGTTCTCAACCTTCACACTACATGGAGGTCACCTTCACACCCTGGCCACTTTACCCCCCAGGGGAAAGAGCCTTCAACACCCACTGGAAAGGAGGCTGGGTGCAGCCCAGATCTAGTCTTGACACTGTGGAGTAGAGAAAAACCTCTTGGCCCTGCCAGGAATTGAACTTTGGCCATCCAGTCCACAGCCCATCACTATAGCAAACTGAGCTATCCCAGCTCCTGTTCCTCTGTTCTGTAATATAACATATTATTGGTGAAACTCCTAATTTTTATTTAGTCAAAACATTATAACCCGCTGTCCACTTCATAAAATGAATTTCAGCTGACAATGAAAGTGTTTTTTTTTAATTGCTAGTGGGGTGGGACTAAGTCCCTTGCACTGCGGCCACTTCTGGCCTATTGTACCAGCCCCAGATGATAGGTGAGGGTAATTGTGGAGCAATTGGTGGAATGAAGATTGGCAGGGGAAACCGAAGTACTCGGAGAAAACCTGCCCCAGCGCCACTTTGTCCACCACAAATCCAACTTGACCAGACCCGGGACTGAACCCGGGCCACCACGGTGGAAAGCCAGCGACTAACCACTTGAGCCATGGTGCGGCCGATACTGAGAGTTGCTTTACAGGAAGTGAAAACCCTTAAACCAAAGCCAACATGGTGGATCGACATGGGCTTCAAATCACCTGCTGAAAGTCAGCTCAATTGCTTTACATTAAAAAATACCTCACACCATATGAAAAATAGCCTAGATGCTATAAATATTGAAAGCAAATACAATTTAACATGATTGCACTTTTGAGTGTCTTAAAAAAAAGAAAGAAAGAAAGAAAGAAAGAAAGAAAGAAAGAAATATGCCCATGCAATTATAAAACGTAAATGTTAAGTTGCTTAGTTAATATCCTACACGTCAGTCTCATAATTCTCTCTCTTCATGAGACTAACGTAAGTATATTTGAATTACAATTTCTGGTTTTTAAATTATAATTTTAAAAACAAATAAAAACCACTTTTAATTATGTAGCAACTGATTTATGATAAAGTTACAAGAGAATTCCATAGTTCATCATCCATTTATGACCTACTTAAAGCAGAGGAAAGTATGCCATAAATATCATAAATTCAAATAATGCTGTAACCTGTGTTCTAACACGAACTTACCTCAACTGCCACAGTCTCTTCAGGTATACTGGGTACATTTTCTGGCTTCTGTAGCATGCTTGGGAGATAGCCAGGTACATCACTACAGTCTGAGTCAATGCCAGCAGAAGGGTCATAGTTCACTTTACAGGTTGAAGCTAAAAATAAAAACAATAACACTGACTGATGTAACAAAAAAATAACAGAAGTAACAGTGTAAACACTAATCACATAGTATAGGAAAGCACCAATTAAGATCTGCATAAACAATACCAGAAATAAATTCAATTCATAATCACAAGTCATGTATTACAACCACGATCAAATGGTCACATGTTAAGCATGAGTTTTCTTTTAACAAATCAAACCAAAATTAAATTTTCCTGACAACCTTCAGTGTTGACTCCCAATATAAAATTTAATTTATACACTGACCTAATCATTTTAGCTCCACTATGGCCCTGGGATCGAATCAGCATGTAACAGAAATGAGTACCAGGAATCTTCTTGGGGGTAAAGGGCACCCAGTGCTTAAGGCTGACAACCCCACCATAATCTGTGAGCCAACTCTCTAGTAAATGTGGAAGCCTTGACATCTCAAAACCCTATGGACCTCCATGGCATATTATAGGGATAGCTTCACCTCTTTGCCTCTTACCTTTTAAGTACTTTAAAGATGAAACAAAAGAACAGGCAGGCAGGCAGACACACATATACAACCTCACAATTTAGAGTTCAATCCATGTAATTTGTGCAAAGAAGGCATAATAATTCAAAAGTGTCAATCTATCCAAATATCTACACATTTCAAGGCACATCCATGAGGAACAAAGGCCTAAAACTCAGTTTAAATATCAAAGGACATAAGTACAGAATAATCCAAAATCCCACAAAACTAGTACAGATTTGGTATTGATCACAAAGTAATTCATCAGAATTGAAAATAAATTTTATATATATATACACATTCTTTGACCGCCTCTGTGGTCTAGTGGTCAGAGTTCATGGCTACAAATCCAGAGATCCTGGGTTCGATTCCCAGCGCTACTAGTTTTTCTGAGAAGTAGTGGGTCTGGAACGGGGTCCAATCAGCCTCGTGAGGATAACTAAGGAGCTATTTCAAAGAAACAGCACCTCTGCTATAGAAAACTGAGATTAATGGCTGAGGGGATCCGTTGCACTGACCAGGCAACACCCTCTATCCGCAATAGCTGGCACTAACTTCGCCGACAAGCAGCGGTCGCTCAGTCAATATGGTTCGTTTGCAGACTACACACCATAGTTTGTCTGTTTATATCTACATTCTTTAAGATGCAATCCCTGTTCTCCAGCATATGAACATATTCACACAGGTTAACACACCTCTCTAGCAAGAGTATTGAGAGATAACAGGCATGGTACTCTGGACTTTCTATAGATATGAATTAAGTCAGTTTGCTTTTATATAAGCCTATCTTTACATGACATGATAGACTGGTTACCTAGTAGGATTTATCAAGTACCATACACGGCAATGTTGTCATTAATATCTTTTTCATATTTTGAAGGTCCTAAGTTAAAATCTAGGCCACAACACCTGACACTCCAAAGTTACCACTGTTTTCCTTGGTTCCTCCACTAAAATACTTGAATAATACATATCTTGAAATGAGGCACAACCAGCCCCTTCTACATCCTTTCCAATTCATCACTCACAAACTCTTTACCAACATTACATAATGACCACATTCAAGGAAACATAATAAAATAAACTCAAAATATTACATAGCAAGTTATGACAGAAATAGAAAATTCACACGAATATTTCCTTCTCCGTGTAGTCCGGTTTAACGAAAGTTCTGAAGGATCTCTTCAGTGGCTCAAGATGGAAGGAGCATGTCCCTCCAAAAGATCAGTAAACTTCTACTAGATTACATGGCATCACATGCCAGATGACAGAAATTGCACAATGAAAAGTCATCTATGTCACATATTTAAAGTAAACTTCTCTCACACATACTCATTTTATGCCAAAATACAACTTTACACCACATTTTAGAGCTCTGAAAAATTCTGAGACTATTGTTCCTTTCATCCTTTCTTTCCTGAAGTATCCAAACTAGTAAGTATTATTACTGTCACAAACTTTTCACTGAGATGTACACAACACATTCTTCCTGGGCAGCTAATAATAGTTTGCCTACTCAAAAAATTCTACCCCCCTTTATGGATTATGAAGCTTCAATTACTGGGATCATAAGAGCTCAAAACTGGTCCTATCCTGAGGTAGACAAATTCACTCCACACGCTAACACATTATCTGATTTCATACATGTTTTTTAATTAATATTTATAATATTTATTTCAGTGATTGGAATGTGCTGTTAACTCTGTTCTACCGACAATGCTAATAATTCCAAAACACACTGTTATTTCTCACCATGCATGATTGCTGAAATGACATTAAACAGTTATTCTTATTAGCTAATGCAGCCTTTTGACAGGATGTTTAAATTTGTAAGTCACGGCAATCATCAACGAAAACAACTGTTTTTCCATCTGCAATTAATCAGGTCTTTTGAAAAAAGTTTTGTTTATGCAATTTATTTTACTTTGCAAATATTTTAATGACACTATGTAGTAACAAGGATAAGCTAAAATTTAACTTACATTTCTTTTCCTCTTCTTCTTTCAAGTGGTGGTATCCAGAACCACTAACAATATGTCCCGCATTCAAATCTCCCCCCACAGATGGCCAACCAGTATCTCCCACTTCACTCTTCATATTCTTGTTTTCTGCTTCGCCTGTGTGTGGAATTCTTTCAGTAGTAACATCCATCTTACTTTCATTTACCTCTCCTGGCACTTCAGGAATGTGTGAATCAGAGGATGAACCTCCAAACATGGATGTCAGTACTCCAATACCAGCTGACAGAGTGTCTGTTATGTCAGGGAATAATCCTCCAGAAGGTTTGATAATTTCTCCTTCTTCAGTGCCTTCCACAGGCAGTAACTGTTCCTCTGAAATGAAAGCAGATGCAGCTGTGGTAGTTTCTTCTGTAGAAGGTTCATATAGTGGAACTTCATCATACTGTTCCTCAGAAGAAGTTGCAGTTGTTGTTTCCATTTCTTCCTCTGTGGAATCAATGTGAGGTTCCTCTAACACGTTAGATTGAATGTCATCTTTTACCTCAGATGATGTCTCTGAACTATAATCTGTAACTTTATCAGTCACAAGATCTGGGTGTACATTTACATTTTGTGTTTCCAGATTTTCAGAAATATCTTCTGGACTACCAACAACTGAGTTTATTATTTCACCACTACCAACAATCACCTCTTTGCCTTCCTCGTTACGATCACTAGACAACTGATCATCTGTATCAACATTCCCTTGATTTGTGTCTACCTCTTTATCATGGCCACTTCCTTCTGTCTCTGTATCATTCTCGTGTACTTCTCCTATTTGTTTATGTTCCAATTCCTCAGCACTTCCAACACTACTTTCAGTCTGATCAGCATTAACATACACATTCTGACTTTCTGAAGCTGGTAATGGTGTTGAATGTGCAAGTACAGGTGGCTTATCTGTCGCAACTTCTTTGGAAGTTTCAAACATGTCTGTAAGGTGTTCTGACAACTCAGTGAGAAGTAATACGTCCTTTACACTCTCCTGTAAATTACGGCCAGCACCCTTACTGTTATCCACTGAAATCTCATTTATATTGGCATCACTTTCAAGTGACAAATGCGTAGTGTCTTGATCCTTAAGCTTCAATGTGTCAACATCTGATGGCTGTGAAGAGGCATCAATAATGTTTACAGATTTCACTTCTTCCACAGTTTTCTGAACATCAGTACTCGGTAATTCTGTAACCTCTTCACTTACTTCCTCTTCAGTCTCTCCATCCTCTTCATCATCATCGTCATCATCATCATCATCATCATACTCTTCTTCCTCATCCTCCTCTTCATCATATATCTCTCTCTCCTCAGTTTTAACATCCACCTTCTTCACAGGTTCCTCGATAATCTCTCTCTTATCTTCAACAACTTCTGGCCCCTTTTCATTTTTGTCTACAGAATCTATGGACTTGTGTTCTATATTCTGTGCTTCATGCTTATGTTGCATATCAGATCCTATCTCATTACCAGTAAGAGACTTTGTTTCTATCTTATCTGCAAGAAATACTGATTCAGCCTTCTTTTTATCAGATTCATATTCTGTCTTATGGACACTTTCTGCTACATTAACTTCAAGAGGCCGGGTTTCCTGCGTAACCTTCTCAGCATTGTCAGCACCCTTAAGCTCTGCAGATGTAGATGGTTCACTTACCACAGCAGGAGGAACTGAGGCTGGCTCATTACCAAGTTTTAATTTCTGTTTGGAAACTATGCTTGGCAGAGAGTTTAAAGTGGTAACTGTTGGTTGTACTTGTAGGAGATGTAAATCAGAGTCTGTCTGTTTTCCATCTGTTTCATAATACAGTGTAGTACCATCTACAACCTCAAAAGGCTGTTGAATAACCTCACTTTCTACTGGCTCAGCTGAAGCTCCACTACCAAAAAATGACTTACGGCCTACATCTGCAAAGGGTAAGTTAATCATGGAAGAATCATCAAGCAATGGTGTTTCTGTCAATATTCCTGATTCTGGATCTGGTTCTAATCCTGACTGCTCTATATCATTCAAGGTGGCTTCCAGATTTGATGCTGCATGACTATTCACCTCAACACTACTTACACTGAGAGATTTATCTGTCACATTTTCCACTGAACCATGTCTTATACCTTCTGCTTCTTCAGTATTCACAACAAATTTCAATGAACTCTTAAGTATCTTGTATTCTCTCACAAAGCTTTTAGGTACATAACCTCTTACTCCATTTATCTGAAAATGCAAACATTATGGCAACTTACAAAATAGAAATATAAACCCATACAATCATTATATCATACTACAACATTCACATTCAAAAGCAAAAACTTTCAATTTTAAACATTTGACAAACTATATGGCTCCAAAAGAAAGAAAAGTATAAGGTGATACTTCATTAAATTATTGCTGAATTTCCTCAAACTTCTAGAGTATGAATTACCTCTGCTCCCCATAAATCTGGTCTGGAACCAGCAGACTTGCTGTAAATTACACATTCTGTATCCATTGGGAAAGACAATATCCGGGAATCATTGCTGATATAACGAAGCAATGTCCTGCTTAAAGAAACAGGATCTAAAACAAAAGAAACCAATATAAATTAGTTTTCATTCCAATCAAAAGCAAACGCACAATATAAATCACAACAGTCCTCAGAGTCCTAATATCACAAAAAATTATTATGGAGGGTATATAAATTCAAATGAATCGTTCTAAAATCTAAAATATCTGGCACAGTACTCGATGTACTATTTTCAAACGTTCAAAATTCCTTAACATGCGTGAAGCAGGCCCAAGTAGAGCCATGACAACATACAAACCTGAACAAGTTGGATCCCCACAAAGTCTTTTGTCAGATATCATTCCTTCACAAATGTACACATTAACCAACATAATCAATAAAATAAAACGGCATGAAGGAAACATTTTCGTTATCGTATTTAACAATTCCCTAATCACCACATCACCATTATCACTCCGATACACCTCGGTCCCATTCACGTGGCGACATCTGGTGCGTATTCTTTGTATCCGCTGATTTTCTCTTCCTTGCACATTTTTTTTTTTTGTCAGTGGTCGTAGTTATTGGCGACGTTGGCGACTGATTGAACTGTACGCGGATGAGGGCGCACCAAGAAAACTTGCAACCGCAACGCAACCGCAATTTCCGAGAAATGTCGCCGATTTCAAGCAGACAACTAGTTTCCAGATTAGCAGACGCACACTGAGGAAACTTGTGTTTCATTAGTTGCTCTCATCATCTTAAGTGGGTATGTTCGTCCAATGTAATGCATGATTGTATTTTTTTAATTTCGTGCACTTACCTTCTGCAATGGAAGATAATAATACTGATCCTGTCATAATATGGTGGTAGTTGAGACGGGTTGAGACTGCGCGAGAAACGAGGACAACGACCATAAGGAAGAATTGGGATCTTAATTAATTTGTTTTAATTAAGGTCAATTTATTTTGATCAGGAAATATCGCGTTCACACGCGATACGAAATTTTGACATACCATGCAATAATTTTAGCAAGATAGAAGACCATCTGATGATGGCCCTATACAGCCGAACCATGTAAAGTGGAAGAAGGGTCACTATAATACGTTGCATTTAAGAAAGAAATATATGTGAAATAAATGATATATTAATGCAACCGGATGTTTAAATACAATATTAGGAAAAGAAAACATTGTACGCATCCGTTCTTCTGGAACAATTTAAACTTAGACGCTTATATTGTTTCGAATGAACTTAACCTGGATTCAGACTCCTTCGTCTCAAGAGAAATTATTTCCTAAGCCAAATCTGTTTTGTTCTGCCTACCATAGTCTGGGTGGCGTTTGTAATATATACAAGTATCTTGCTCAATTAAGTACACACAAAAAAAAAATATAGCAGGTTCGTCAATATTTCGTGCCGCCTTAACAAACAAATGAATCACTGAAGCGCGTTGCAGAACAGCTGATGCTGGAAACATCGAGGCAACGCAATTGTGAGAAGACTGGCATGCTCTGTTTCCTGGAAATTGAGTTTCTCAGTTTCTCCGCTAGTTGCGTTGCCGTTTCCTCAATTTGCGCTGCTCCCATTCAGTAACACGTGTTCAACTCAGGCTGATAATAATTATCGGAAATTGCGGTTGCATAGAGGGTGCCAGTTTCCTTGGTGTGCCCTCGCCCTTACTGAACGGAGCGACAGAGTGAAATCGGCTACATTTCTCGGAAATTGCGGTTGCGTTGCAGCTTCCAGTTTCCTTGGTGTACCCTTGCGCTAAGAGTGCTTAAAAATTATTGCAAATACTACAGAGTGATGAGGAAAAATTGAATGGTCGAACCCCTTATAAAACTGGTAGTGCCAACTGGTCAAGGTGCACATAATTTTCATGATGGTGGTTGAAATTTTATTCATGTTATACCACAACAAGCATACGATCCATCAAGGAGGATGGAAAAAATAATTTCTTCCTTCCTTTACTTTATTCCGTTTGTACCTTTATTTCCTCTTTACCAGTGACCTTTTTCCTGACCTTTCATTCATCCATCCTATCTTAATTCCTCTCCTCCTTTCTTTCTTCTTTTCCTTCATACTAAATCAGTTCCATCGCCACTGTTTTCCGCTCCTCTTTCCCTTCAACCCCTCAACTTCTCTTTTCTGAATTCCATTCCATCCCTTACATTTTCCCCTTCTTATTGTCGCTCCTCCTCCTCCTTCCTTTCTTTTATTCCTTCATATTAAAACAGTTCCGCTTATGGGATGCATGGAACATTCCGTTCATAGCCATGTCTAAATTGTATGTCATAAAAGATGAATAAGCCCATGACTGAAAATCGGAACTTTTACTGAAATATCCCCATATCAAATTTCAGGAAAAATCTGTCTAGCG